CGTCATTCCGTACTACGCCCGACACCGCCATCTCCTTCCCGTCCCCCATTCTGCCGAACCCGACGACTCCGATGACTCCGACGATCTTCCGGAACCTCAGTCCGCCGCGAACTTCGCCGGACTACAAAATACGACGAACGACCGAGTTTTGACGCCTTCGCGGCAGCCTAACCGTCTAGTACTCTAAAATTTTTTCCACCCAGACCAGGGTTCGCCCTGTGTTGTATCCCGGACCTCGGTCCTGTTCCGTCTCTCATCTTTCACCTCTCTCATTTGATCTCTCTCCTGTCCGATCCTTATATTCCCTTGCATTTGCCTCGTATGCGTCATCCGACGACTCCGGTCATCCTCTCTCCTTCGGAAGCCTCCGGACTTGCCGGTTTTACGCTGCGTGTCTTTCTTTCACTTCCGCTCACTCACGCATTCTTCTTTTTTTTTGGTGCACAAGAAAATCAGTTATAATATTTACATATTGTTTACAAGAAAGTCTCTACGGGCCAAGTGCCTTTTTGCTCGTCCGCCCTACTGCCCTTCGTACTCCTCGTCCTCCTCCATTTGTCTGTCCGCCTCTCGTTCCTCTTCGTCCGCCGCCTCAGCCCGTTGAGCATCCTCGAGCTCCCTCCGCAGGATCAGCGCCGCCAGGCCCCGTGTGGCTGCGGCCCGGGTGCTCTCCGCCTCCTCTGTCGCCTGCTTGAGGGCGGCGATCCGAGCGTCCATTGTTGACATGACCTGGACAAGGGTCCGCAGCTCGTGATCCGCGCAAGCCTCTACCAAAGTAGGGATAGCGGCACTCCCTGACGCTGCCCGCGTAACCCGGCTTGTCTTTCCGCTCTCTCCTCCGCGTCGCCGTGTCCTTGGCCTTGGGGCTGCCCGTTGCTTCCCCTTTCCACCCGCCGCTTTGCTGCCTGACGCCTCCGCCTCCGAGGTCCTCACCTGCCTGGCGCGCGTCTTCGCGTGCGAACACCTGACCTTCGATCCGGTGCACGCCTCGCACGCATGGCAGCCGGTGCCGACGCAGGTAAAGTACGCCTGCTGGCAGTGCAGGCATCGGCGAGCGTCCGTGAATTCGACCACAGGGTGCGGGCAGGACTCCTTGGGTGCACCGAACCCGCACCCCCATTCGACATTGTTCGGGCTCGAACTAGCATCTGAAGGGTCCGTTAGTCCCGGGGTACCGTCTGATGAGTCCGCTTACCGGCCGGATCGTACTCTCCGTACTCCGTTACGTCGAGATGCGCTGGCGCTGGAGGAGTCTTCTCCCTAGTGTCATCCACGTTGCCCGCGCGTCTTCGAAGTCGTTTTGCCCGGGGAGTTGTCTCGGGCTCGCCGCCGTCGCTCTCAACCACCTTCCGCTTTCCTGCACGGATGGCGCTGGCACGTCTTCGCGTCCGAGGGACCGGCGTGCTATCATCCTCAGCGTCCGACGGAATTTCGACCACGTCCGAGTTCTTCTCTGCTTCGGGACGATCAACGGGAGTACTCCCGGAACCGAGGGTTCCCGAACCAGCCACGAACGTTGGCCTCTGCGCAGCCCGTCGACGCTCCTCAGCGGCGAGCGCGTCCCGTCGTCGTGCATCACGCACCTCTTGTGCCCTCCTCGCCTCCGCGTCCGCAGCCTCCTGTGCTTCTCGTGCCCGTCTCTCGTCCTCGGACTGCCACTCCGCGAGTCGGGACTGTGCCTCCAGTAATTGCGTAGTGGCCCGGGCCATCTTCTCCTTCACGTCATCTTCGACGGTGTTCTCCAGTTTCCGCGACACGAGGACGTCTTCGGCGCCCATCAACCACTCCTGCACGCAGTCAGCGCCCTGCTTCTAGTCGTCGCCCATGTTGCCACTTACCTGCTGCTGCTCCATGTCGGCAACGGCGATTTCCACATCGACCCGATGCTCGTCGTCGAGCTCCGGGAACGCCGTACCCATGTCCACGAAGTAGCCGGCCTCCTCTTCGTATGCGGCAACGGCTTCCTGCTTCTTAAGGGTCTGGAGTTCCTCCAGGGTGCGGGACGGGGTGTGTTTTGCCATGGTCGTACGGACAGTGATGCTGGGCGCGATGGAGGGAGAGAGCAAGAGAAGATGTTGGACTTCGTCGAAATTATCAACAATCCGTCATGTGACCGTGCTTCCTTTGGTCCCACGCCACTATTTTCGTTCACCCGCCCACCTTCCCACTTCGCAATTCTTGCTCGCCGTGTACGTTGCCCCGGAGGGTCAACACATAAAGTCCCCGGGGGATGTAAGGGTTGAACCCTTTCGTTCCGTGCAGTCCGGCTTCCCCTATCCCCTATCCACCCCTCTCCGACTCCTCGGACGCGCTCGCACATGACTCGGACGTCACGAACCCGTACCGGACACACGTGTTAACGGATCAGACACTGCGGATCAATGTTTCGTTCTCTTTTGTTCTCGGACTCTAATACTTGATCATACTAGTCCCATTATTTGTTCCTGGTGCCTTTTCGCCTCGGACATTTCCGATGTTTTCTTAGCTACAAAAACCTACTGCACTCGTAGTTAGAAGAATAAGAATTGTTTCCCCCCCACATCGAGTCAGAGTCTAAGTCGTCCGAGAAGCTTTCCTCCGCCGTTGTCAGAGTTCGCCGTCGTCCGAGTCCGAGTCCGATCCGAAGCCAGTTCTCCCGCCGTCCTTATCATTCTCCTGCCGTCCTCATCGTACTATCCGAAGCCGAAGTTGTTCGCTCCGCGTCCCAGCGCGTCCGAAGCTATCCGAAGCCATCCGAAGCATCCGAAGTTTCCTAGTCATTGTTTTCACTCTCGGACTTACCGTTTATCACACTAGTTCATTCGGGTGTCGCACGGACTTGTCCTGCCGGAGGCGGACCCTCGCATTTCATTTGACTATACTACTAGTCTACGTGTATATTCACTACTACAGTACGAACGAGATCGCTTCACTTATAGCATTGGATATTTCAAGCTCTGCAGAAGAAGACTCGGAAGACTCTTCCTCCTCTTCGCGTAGATGCTGATATGAATCGTGTATGATGGTGTTGTGGAGGATTGAGGCCGTTATCAAGGCCAAAGGGGAAATACCAAGTATTAGATAGTACACTCAAAAAACCCTTTCAATGCATCCCTTGATTGGAAATTCTGTAGAATATTCTAGACTTATCCTGTCTCCTTATGGTCAGAGCAATCGGTGGAGGCCTAGCAATTCTTCGAGTGCGAGATGAAATAGAGGTTGCTGCAGGGGTTGGCGGCGCCATTGGAAAAGGGGCAGGAGCACAAACAGGAGCAGGGATCCGCCTTTGGTATTTTTGATTGGGCAGCGGCAGCATCGACTGTTGCTTTAACTCTAACCCTGTAGTAGAAAGGACGGTCATCCCCGCCATGGTCTTCTCCTTCAGAGGACGAGATGACGATAACATCCACATGCATATCTACTATGTATAGTAAATGGAGGGACATCACAGAGAATTGAATGTGCTATTGGTGAGCTTGTACTGGCTGGTCAAGTGATATGAGGTGCATATGTACCATCTTCAGTTGTCTTTGCCCCTCCCTTCGAGCTCGTGTGGCCAAACCTATACGTAGCTGCTGCTGCGTCACTCTCGCCGACCTTGTGCTCCTTGCACAGGCAACGGAGACCTTTGTTGTTGAATTTGGGTCTCAGGAGCAGAACTCGGCAGGGCGGAGGTATCATCAAGGTCCCTGTTGTAGTACTCAAGCACTCCTTCCGAATCAGATGAGTCAGACGGTTCTTTTTCTTTGTAAGTTGTTGGTATCAGGTATCATTGAACAAAGAAATTTGATTCATTGATAATAAGTGTAAGTAGCACATTCAGGATGTAATGGGACATACTGCATACCTGCAAGTAGCACTTCCCATTCCGGCCCAGGTTCTGTCTTGATTCTACCGCATTGGTATATATGAGAGATGGGAAAAGGACATAAGCATACCTCTTTGCCATCAACAACAGTTTCTTATCAATGCTCGTGCATCGACGGCTTTCGCTCAAGCCCAAAGCGTGGAAAGACATTGAGGAACCTCTACAAGGCTGCTCGACGGGGTCAACAATGTCTTCTCTGGCATAAAACTGGGATCAAAGCACTGTTCAATTAGATAATGTATGTCCTCGGTTTCAGTGCCTCTTGCAGGATAAGGGTTATCCCAATAGTAAATCAAACATTTCCAGTGCTTCAGCCAGAGGTTACTGGCACAAACCACAGCAAGACGACACTGACGAGCAATGACCAGAAACAGACCTGGTCACCAGCGCTTGAGCATGGTCTGGGCAGCCCAGATTGAAACTCTGTTCCATTCCATTGTTGGGACTCATTACTAAGTAAAGTATTGTAGCCACAGTGTGGCCATGAGTTGCTAATATAATATTTCAAGGTATATAAAATTTGTATATCTGGCGCTTTACCACATTTATACATGAAGCTCATATGAAGCACATGACTTCACATCTTCCGTACATTTATTTCATATAAAGGTCATATAAAGCCCACTTCTTTTGCGAAACTTTACAGTCCTTCATATGGCTTTACATTTCTTCTACATTTCTTCTACATTTTCTTTACTTCTTCATGACTTTGAGGCAATAACAATTGTTGAGGAGCTTCACGTAAAGCTTATATGAACTGCATGTGAAGTTTATATGCGACATTCATATGTGCTTCATGTGAAGTCCATGTGAAGCACATATGAAGAGTTTATATTCATATGGATTACAACTAAGTTATGAGTTTGTCTTATACACAAGTGCATACAAGCTTCATGTGTGGTTTATATGAGCTTCATGTGTACTTTATATGAGCTTTACATGTGATTTATATATGCACTACATGCACTTTGTATAGAGTAAATGTATACTTTATATGAGCATCATGTGTGGTTTATACAGCATATATATATGCTTTATGTGCAGTTTATAACATACATGTACACTTCATGTGAACTTTATATGTGGTTTATGTGCGCTTCATGCGCACTTCATATGCAACTTATACATAGTAGAGGTAAATACTTTGACACATTTAGTCCTCCTCCTCCTCACTCTCCTCCTCCTCTTCACTCTCCTCTTCACTCTCTGAGTCTTCTTCATCCTCACTCTCCTCATCACTGTCTGTCATTTCTATTCCTGCTTCTTGATTCCTCTTCTTTTCCTCCTGCTTGGCAATGACCCATTGAGTGTGTATGAATAACAGCACATGCATCGTGAAGTCAAAGTTGCTAACTGTTATTCGGTTGAGAACAGTCTGGAAACCTCCAATCCATGCATTGAGCTGTTCACAGGCCTAAGCTCAAATTAGACAAGTATGACTGCTAGACCACTAAATTCACTTACCTGAGTGTTGAAAGCCCTCTTATAGTAAGGGTTGCCTTGCTTGTCATTGGCAACAACTACAAGATTTGGTGCATCTCCATTGAGGGGTGCTGGATTGCACCAGGTCCGGCAAAGATGATCAGTGATCCAGTGGTTGATGTAGTGGTATGAGTCCACAATAATCCTAGTTGTTGGCTCCCAAGCAGGCCAGTGACCTTGCCTGACAATATGCTTGAGTAAGGCGCACCCCTTGTCAATGGCAATGTAGCTGGGGCGTGAGGCAGGATCAGGATAGACATCTTCAAGGAACCGAAGAATCTTGGCCACCCCTTCTGACTTGGCAAACTTGTGCCAGGCAAGGACCACACCACATGGAGCACAGATGGTCTCCACGCAGTAGTACCTAGGAGCAGAGAAGTAGTTGTTATACATACTTGCTGCCACTGGCCTGTTCAACCTCCTGCTCTGCAAGGTCATCATGCTCTGGCGCCTCTGCTCCTCCACCAACAGGCAACCATTCCTGTCTCTCCTCCTGAGCTCTTCTCAACATCCGCTGCACTCCAAGAAGTGAGGTGTTGGCATATTGCCTGCGAAATGTGGCCCACTGCCCCTGGTGATCTTGACAGGCCTTCGTGTCACCAACCTTGACCTTGCCACATCCCTTCATATGGCACTTGTTTTCCATCCTCTCTGCATGCCTCTTGCAGAACACCCCAGTTTGGGCATTCTCAAGTCCTGCCTCGCACCCTTCCATTGCGCAATGTCGTGGCCCCATGACAATTCCATCAATGACAATCATGCAGACCTCTCCATGATTGCCAGGTGCAACAGGGCCAGTAGGCTGAACCACAGCAGCAGGCTGGTTGTCAACCTCCATTGCATCTGGATCAACAGGTTCCCCTGCATAGTCTGGAACAGCATGATTTTCATCATGGCCAACAACTGCAGCAGGGTCATTGGGTTGCCTTGGAATGACATCAGCAACATCCTTGAATGCATGACAACACTCATCGCAAGAATGTCCCTCTGCACTGCGGATAACTCCATTGTCGCCAAGTTCAATGTAGGCAGCAGCAACCAGAGCATTGATGGAGATTGTCTTCAAAGACAATCTGGCGCTTGTTGAACTTAGCCATCTGCCGGATAGACTCCTCCACAAAGGCCTTCCAGACTTGTCGACGTCCAAGTTTGAAGGTACCTCCACTTGGCTTGACAAATGAGAAGTTCCAAAACTCGGTAATGGCAGCAGTGGAAGCATGGAAGCTGTAGTTGGCATTGACGATAGCCCCAGAGACAGTGCGGTCGACCCAGACACTTTTGCCAACCTTGAGATACTTGGCATTGTTGAGGTACAAGCACAAGTCATCACCGTTGTTCTGGGTGAACCGCTCGTGATCTGCCCAGTAAAGTGAATTGCAGGAAGAGCATCTGCCAGCCAGAACAGGGACTTTCTCCAAGCACTGACTCCCCTTGAGCAATGTGACATGAGCAATATCACGTTCCCGGAGGTCTTGAGTAAGGCTATGGTCGTTACAGTCAAGAGTTGGACAAGCCATGACGATGGGCGTGATAAGAATGATGGGTTGAATAGAAGCAGTGGAGATGGGGCGAAGTTTGGACTTGAAATTCCCAATACTGGAGTGTGAAGCAAGAGACAGAGAGCGGCTGAACCGGCTGAGTTTCTTGCCTGCAAGCGTAATTTGCTGCTGCTCAGATCGTGAAGTCCGTAAGTTGTCAGTGGTGAACAGGGAGACAAAGCCACTGTCAGAGAGCTTTGCTTTGACAGCACGGACCAGGGCAGCCATCCAGCTAGTAGACTCCTGTTGCTGAGAAGCCTGCTGTTGTCCATGAAGGTTGAGGAGATCTGTATTACTGACAAGAGTCATCAGAAGCATTAAGACAGTAGACAGCTTGATCTTGGGACCAAAGTTGTCCTGAATGCTTTGAGCAAACTCGGTGAAGAGCATGTTTGGGAAAGGATCTTGTTTAGGTGCTGCAGCAACACATGGAACAAGTCCAAGCAAGAACCACACCACTAGCAGCATCATGTAGGTCTGTAAACAGAAACTAGGCAAATGAGCACGTGTTCAGACAGAATATGATGGAGACTCAAGCAAGAAATGGTGCAAAATATATGCAATTTTCAATAAATATAGTAGTACAAAGATATATGCATAGGGAGAAATTCTAGGTTGTATGAAGCTGATGACTTACTTCGATTTGGATGGCCCAGCCTTCTTCTTTGCAGACCTCTTCTCCTCCTTCTTCTGCTCAGTGTTGATCCGTTCCACCAGTTGGCCCAAGGTAGCCTTGCCAGGCTTGACTGCACCCCACAATTTCTTGTAGATGGCCGAGCCCACTCCAGCATCACCCTCCAGATATGTGAGAATATCTGGATGCTGAATGGCAGCCAGAAAGAGGGGATTGTAGTTGCTGAAGCTGCTGGGATTCATGTAGATGGCGCGAGTGTTTTCGACATTTGGAAAGGGAGGAAGAGGAGGGGATTTGGGATCGTGAGCGTCATATTTGGCCTTGAGTCGTTCTCGAGCAGTACTGGCAGCTTTCCAGTGCTCATACGCCAATATGATGTCCCCATCATTGGGCTTGGTGTTAGGAACCAAGGAGACTGGGACCTCAAGAAGAACGGCGTACGGGATCAGGTGCTGCTTGGTGGAATAAGCTGCACGGATGTGGTCTGGAGCTGGCGGAAGTGCACCTGCAGTAGCAACACCAACAGATGAGATGGATGCTGAGGGCGCAATAGATGAGGGCGCAATAGAGCCACCAGAGTGGGCAACTGAGCTGCCAGAGTGAGTTGATATGAGAGAAGGAGGAAAGGCGGGAAAGGCCGAAGTAGATGCTGCAGGAAGGGGCTCCTGATTTTGTGAAGTTAGAAGTGCTCAGACGCAGATGAAGACAAGCTTACCAAAAGCATGAACAACTTGAAGTCATTATTCCAAGTCACATCCATGTCATCCTCTAGCGCAAGGGCAAAAGGACCAGCGACCTCCCATTCCCCATCAACATCCAAGACTGAAATAGCAGACTCTACATATTCAGATCAGCAAGCATATTAGATGAGAAGGGAGTTGAATGACTAACCTGTCACAGTCGGAAATTTCCTGGTCAGAATCTTGAGGATTGGTGCCAGCGTAGGAAAGCGGGCCATGGTTACAGAGTGGGGCTTGTCGGTCATCCCCAAGGTGGTGTGCATGACTACCTTGCCCTTACCATGAGTCTCGATGGGCGGGACATCACCAACAGGAACTAGATTGAAGGTAAGCGCAAAGCAGATGAAGTCAAGTTGAGAAACTCACCAAAATCAGCCATGTTGGGTGCGGTGCCAAAGGCATTACCACGTGTGAAGCCACCAGTGGTTCGTGAAGCGCCCTGCAATTCCTGCAAGTTGTCAGATGGAGAGGGAGAGTGAGAAGGCGCCGGCAGAGAAGCAGCACTGGAAGCAGCACTGGAGTGAGAGACGTTACGGCGCTGAGCCTTACCAGTGTGCTTGTCAGTGAGTGGGGACTGGCTAGCATCGCGTTTAGCAGGCTTGCGAGGAGTGATATTGATATCAACATCCATGATTGTCGCATCACCCTCGTCGTCACCACTTCCATCACCCACACCAGCAACTTCACCCTCAGCAGCTCCAGCGGCCTCTTCATCAACATCTTCATCGTCATTCTCTTTATCCTCCACATCCGCATCAGCCTCCGAGTCCTTGTCTGACTCTGCACCGAGGTTGTGCAAGTCTCTAGCTCTACCCTTACCCTTATCCTTGACCACAGCAAGTTCTTCTTCATCACCGGAGTTCGAGTCGTCTTTGGAACCGGCGTTGACCTGTGGGTCTTCATCGTCACCTGAGTCGGGATCAGGACGACATGCACGGTCAGAGACAATGCACGGGGTAGTGGAAGGGATCTGAATCCCTGTGCCGGTGGAGCGAGGCGGTGGAGCTACACCAGCCCCACTTTGCTGGAGGATTCTAGACATACTATAGTTAATTAGTACGGTGCAGGCATCATGATGAGTATATCAATACGTACAGTGTCATGTTCTTCTTAGCAACTGCTTTCGCAGCCTTGTCCTCTGCATCACAGTCGGCAGAGGTCCTATAAATATCGGAAGTCAGCAACCGGTACAAGCAAGCAAGTAAGTGATACATACTTCTTGTCTTTCTTGGTTTTCATGGTCTTCTTTGCAGCAGACACACGGGACTTCTTGACTGGCTGCTCTTCTTCATCTTCATCTCTATCAAACATTGTTCAGATTTCTTTCCCAAAGGACAAGGGGAACACGGACAGCGATATGGAAATCAAACGGACTCACTCCAGCGCCACGAAGTTCATGAAGTGAGGATGCCTCCGACGACAAAGCCAGAGATGTTCCCTACGGTTGCAGCCAACGCATAAGACACATACGCAGCACTGCGCTCCACTGGATCGGGGAACGTTGTGCGTATCATTGCAATCCCAGACGGGACTATGTAAACTTAGCCAAAGTCTGTTGGTGATAATGCATGAAGGATAAACATGCCTATACCCTGCAGGGCTCGGAAAACAATTGACATGATCGGGTGAACGCTTGCCCCCACCGGGATCCTACAAACAAGAAACCGAGGCAGAATATAGGCTTGGGGTGGAATATATCGGAGAGGGTGCCAGCGATGAGCATAAAGGAAGCGAAGGTTAGGGTGTATGCAGAGAGGATCCATTGAAGGGTGCCAGGGGCGAAGTGCAAGTCTTCTCCAAGATGTGGGCAATGCATGAAAAGAGGAACAGTACCACAGTAAGGAGAGGGGAAGAGGTGAAATACTAACTGACGGCAGCGAGACAAGGACGGCGCTTGCATTGAACACATCGAAGAATTGGGCGGAACAGAACACGCCTAGCAAGACGAGTTTCCGAATAGGCGACAGGGATTCATACGACGTAGCATCGGCGTTTGGGAGAGGAACTGCAATCCCTTCGCTGATGTCGATGGATGCTGACGACCTTTCTTTGGGAGGGGAGAAGTCACACGTCAGAGTTGGAGTACGGCTGACTTGGGGGGAGGACATTGGGATGGCAATAGAATAGAGTGAGTGCTCCGTGAATCATGTTATGTATATACACCCAAGCCCACGCACGGGAGGAAAGAGTGCAGAATGAACTGGCGGAGATGACCCCAGAGCGTCTGGTGTTTGCCAATATGTTTGATTAATATTGCTGGAGATTATGATTTTGAGCGCCCCTGTATATTTCCAGGAGCTTCAGTTACGCGAGGACGAGCTTATAGAAAGCTAGTTTTTGTGAGGACCTACCGCATGTAAGGGACGTTGCCAGGGATATCAGTCGAGTTATAATTCAACAGGACGACCACCTCGCATAGGAACCCCAACACCCTCACATAGGCCTTCGACTTGTCTGGTCGCCTGTTCGGAAAGCTGAGAGTGGCGGCGTAACAGGGTTGAGTTACTTAAATGAAGCCTGCGGGACGTGAGGACGGCCTTTTGGCAGGCGGTTTCGGGACGAAATGAGGTTGTGAGACGTGGTCGACAAAGTTGGCTTCAAGGGAACGTGCTTCTCAATGGTTGACGGTGTGCTGCCCATAGTCTGAGGCCTTGAGGCAAATGCATACCAGTTCTCCATAAGCTCTTGACAACCACCCAGCTCCTTCAACCGCAGCTAAGCTAAAATATATAGAGTCGACCATGTCAGAGGGAAAATGCGGGAAAATGCAGACGCCAGCGACGGATTGGAGTGTAGAGCGTCAAACCTCGCGTCTCGGGCTTGAATAAATCACTTGAGTGTAACGAGGGAGCGAACTTGTCAAGTAGTGAAAGGCCGAAAGCTAATCATATTAGCTTTCACCGAGAGTGAGTACTTACAAACCCGCCCACCGGTGCTTCGAGGGTGTTGGGGGACCCAGCCGTACACAGGCGTTCACGAGAGCGAGCAAGATAACATTGTTACTGGACTATGCACCGTTTATTAACAAATCGTATTCACATTAACAAGAACTTGTTGTCCGGGAAAATACGGGTGGGAAGGATCGTCAAGAATAGTTATGGAAAGCGCTACGCGCAGGACACGAGTGTTGATGCTGAACGTCCGTTTGGATGGACAAGGACCGAGTGGACGTTGATTAGGTTTCAGTTTGAGCAGCGTATCTCACTGAGTGGTATCGGGAGATAGAAGACGGAGATTCGGATCGGACGGAGGTGCAGGGTGCATGTCATCGTCGTTGGGTGATGGATGTGTAGTCGATGGAGTCAAGTATTCATTGGGTTTGGAGCAAGATATATCGGTCGGGGAGTCAGTAGGTGCTGCCGAGGGAGCGTGAGTGGGGTCCGCGGGGTCGTTGCTGCTGCTCTGCCAGCAGAATCTCATCGTAACGGCGCTCTGGCCGCACCCACACGGGCAAACCGCCAAACTCAACCTGTGATCCAGGCATGCAGAGTCAGCTCAACGAAGCTCCCTTACAAACGAGCCACCATTTACCCTTGATTTTCCATCTCCTCGCCGTTCCCTCCCTTTGAACCATCATCAAACTTGACTCCAATGACGGTTTCCACCATCTCCTTCACGCACCATATCCGCGCGCAGACGCCTGCGATCTTCAGCCCGTGCTTGACGTTGGCATTGCAAAAGGGCGCAACGACAGAAAAGGCCCCGTCAAATGTGAAGGCCGAGGCGAGGGTGTACGTGTGTGACAGGTTGAGGCATTCGAGAGCGGGTGACTGTGTACCCGTCAGCACGGTGTCGGGCGAGGTTTCGGGTTCTGTTGGCGCTAGTGGCTGGCCAGGCAACGGAGAGAATGTGATTGGGGAGGAAAGCGATGAGTTCTCGGGGATGTCCAAGCTATGGCGTGGAGAGCAGTTTAGTGGAGCAGGTATTCGCAGTGGTTCACCAAGATGACGGACTTCGCCACCCATTCCCATATCTTCGCAAACACGAGGGGGTTCCGGGGGGTCTACGTCCATTGCTTGAGCAGCAGCGTAACATTGAGTGCTATGCATCTCGCCATTGGTTCGCTTGCCACCCTCACCGAGGATGGGTATCTCTCCTTCGCTGGGATCCAGTGTAGGTGTAGATTCGGTCTGCTTGTCCATGTCAACACCAGAACCCGCTCCAGGGCCCACCCATTCTCCGCCCTTCATCCACATCCGCCACTCGACCCACAAATTCCTCGCACGGAGTAACACCTTCAGCTGCTCGTCCAGCCGCTCCAGCAGTTTCTCGACAGTCTGAAATCGCCTTGCCGTGCGCAAAGGCCTGAGGTGAGGTGTGAACTGGCCGTTCAAATTCGAATTCCAAGTCGAGATCGTCTGTCTAGGCGCCTCAGGCGCTGCAGCATTGTCGAGCCGCTCTGCCCGGGGCTCAATCACAAACACCTCATTGTCGTCCGCAAACCGCACGCTCTTCCTCTCCACACCACCACCCCCTCACCGCGCATCCCCTCTTCCTTGTCCTCATCCATTCCCAGAACCTCCCCACCCATCTCCTCGCACCCACCGCCCCCGCCCCCGTACTTCCTCACATGCTGGTAGCGCCACGCCTGCACCCTGCGCGCCTCGCACATCTTCCACCCGTACCCCAGTTCCGACGCGAGTAGATTCATGCAGCGCGGGCCCGCGCAGGCGGAGGGGAGACACTTGGTGGTGATGGGGAGGCGGGGGGCGTAGGAGGGGGTTGGCGGCGAGGCGGGGGGGACGGGGATCGGTGTTGGTGTTGGTGTCGGTGGTGGCGCGTGTGCTGAGTCGTTATGAGGGAGTGAGGTGAGTCGGCCTTCTCTACAATTGAGAGCGACGTAGATGGTGGAGATACAATTGTCGACGCGACCGCTGGTGCTGATTACAGAGCAGGGACCTCGGCTGATGAGACGGTTGTGGAAGGCGAAGAAAATGGAGGAAATTCGGCGTTTGGTTGAGGCGAAGACAGAGGCGGGAGCAGCGATTTGAGGGAGAGCCCAGATGGAATCTTGATACGAATTTTGAACGCCCCGGCGGATTTCTGATGATCACCAGCGCGAGGGCCTTCAACGCCCGCTGCCCCGCCGCCCTCCGCCTCCACACTACTCTCCTTGCCCCCAGGCCTGCATTCTGCCCCGTCCTTCCGCTCTACATCTCCTGTACCCTGAAGCGCGTCGCCTCCACCATTTCTAGCGCCAGCGGAATCCCAGCCATCCCAACCGCCAGCACCACCCTCAGTCCTCCTACCCTGACCCTGATCGCTCCTACACCTCCTCTGCGAGGTCGACACACGGGCCATCACCGACCGACACCACTCTTCGTACGACATATTCTCCGCCGTGGACTCTGCGCAAGCACTCTGCAAGCGCGGACCGGTAGGGTGTTTGTGCTTGATCCACCCGTTGCCTTTCCCTTTGCGTTTGCGCTTCGCCGGGCTGGGGCTGGTGGGGTCGGGGTCGGGGGTGGGAGTGGGAGTGGATGATGAAGAGGGGAGGGAGCAAGAGGGAGTGTGCGGCTGAAGGAGGGGGAGTGGTTCCGGGTACGCCAGATCCATCAACAAATCCTCCTCGCCCTCGTCATCCCCGTTTTCCAGCTCTTCTCCCTCGTGCTCGAACGCCATCAGGATGTCTGTATTGCAACCAGCATTGAGGGTCTCGCCGCCACGGCCAGCCCAATTGGTGTCGGCGTTGGTGGTGGCAGGTGCGTGGAGGGGAGGAACGGGAGGAATGGGAGAGGGTGTCTCGTCGTCGGGGTACGCGAGATTGAGGGAGTCGAAGTCGACATCCAAGTCTCCAAACTCCTCAAACTCTTCTCCAAACTGCTCAAACTGCTCATATCCTTCTTCGCCTGGCTCGCCGTCGATGTTGATATCCATCCCCTCACCAACGCCCAGGACACCCAGATGACGATCATCTCCCTCTCCCGTGTCTCCCTCCTCCTTACCCACAATCTGCGTCTGTGTCTGCGCCCCCGCCTCCTGATGCGCCTCCTGCTGCACAACCGGCTCTGCGGTCGATCCATTTGAAGCGCTTGCGGGCGGGGTCGCGGGGTGCGGAAGACGGTCCTCCTCGCGCTTCTTGCGCTCCTTGCGCACACCGCGCGGGGGCCCGATCTTGAGCTTGAGCGTCTGCGGGACATCCATCTCCTCCTCTTCCTCCACCTCCTCCCCCGAAGACGACACGTCATCCCGCCCGCGTCGTGCCAAACCCTTGCTCCCATGCGCCGAACGCGAATACGAACACACATCTGACCGTGCGGGCGCACAGGACCGCTTCTCCAAGCTCGCACACCCCAGAACCATATCGCCCAGAACGACAGCCCGCCACGGGAGGGGCATGCACTGCCTCTCCGCCCTCTCCACCCTCTCCACCGCCTGCTGCCTTCCTTCTTCTCGTCCTCGTTCTGGTATAGGTCGAGGTCAAGGTCGAGGTATATGGAGAGGTATAGGTAGAGGTATCGAGGCACGCCTGGGGAGCGGCTTCGCCCGTGATCCTTCCTTCAGCTTCACCTTCAGTGGCGTATGAGGAGGAAGCTCGTGTCCAGGTACCTGCAATGGAAATGGAAAACGCATACACACGCGGATGGATGCAACTCACCTCCTCTTCCTCTTCCACGTCCCCGCCCCCACTCCTCTTCCCGTCCCCGCCCTCCGACCGAACACCGCCCTCCGACTGACATCTGAGCGAACGTCGACGTCGTCTACCCCGCGTCGCTTCGCAGCAAGGTTGTGCTGTCGGACAAGCCTCGCAGCCGCTGTAGCTGTCGCTGCTGGCACCTGGGCCCCCGCATCCCCATCCAAATCTGCATCTGCATCGCGAGGCCCATCGCCATCGCCATCGCCGTTGCCGTAGACTCCTCCTCCTCCTCCTCCTCCTCCTCCTCCTCCTCCTCCTCCTCCTCCTCCTCCTCCTCCTCCTCCTCCTCCTCCTCCTTCCTGCCCAACGCCAGCACCTCCCCCCCTCCTGACTGCGCCCATGCCCTCCTCTTCCTATGCCCCGTCCTCGACCCCGAGTGCGCCCTCGCCCTCTCCCAGCACTCCCGCGACTCGCCCGTTTAGCAATGTCGCCCTTCTTCAAGCGCTCCCAGGTGGCCATCTGCGCGCGCAGGTCGATCCCGCTGAGGAACCCAAATCCCGCGTCGCCTTCCTCGTCCCCATCCTCGTCCTCGTCCGCTTTGGCTGTCGAGTCTGTGTGATTCTCCCTTGATCCCCTCATCTCCCTCCACTCTCTCACTTCCCGCTTCTTCGACTTGGACTTGGCATGTGCGAGGAGGGAGAGGCGGGGTAGGGGGAAGCGGGACGGCGTGTGTTGAGGGTGGGTAGGGCCTGTGCTGGCCATCGAGGTGGATATATCTGGACGTCCTGGGTCTCGTATTTGAGGACAATCTCGACGATTGAGATAGGGTAGACTCACGGTTACTCCAATAAGTTCCAACTGTGTGCCACTCCGTTCCTAGCCGCGATTAGATAGTGCGAGTTACGCGTCGACGGTATGTTTCCAATTAGGATGAGAAAAAAATACATTCATACCTGTAAGCAAATAAGGTTATTGGCGCTTATAATCTTGACCCGAGAAGCCGTGGCATTCCTGTAACAGAACGGTCCGGTATACCAATACTTCCCACTACCTAGTGCCTATAGCTTATCCACTGAAACACGGTCTATTTCTATTTAGCTTATATCTAATCCATGCTACTTGGTACAGCTAGCATGCTAATATAGTATATAAAGGCTTGTATTTCTCTCTATTTCTCTAGTATCTCTGAATAGACGGTTTACCCCTGTCTGTTTGTGTGATCTCCATCAGGACCTCCGATAATGCCTATAAATGTCGGATCAGAAAGTGCCAGGTTTGGGGGCAAAAGGAGTGGGTGGAAAAATTCCCTTATTAGGTAATTTGAGGAGTGGAATCCGAACCGACCTCCCAAAAAGGAAATGAGGGGGTGGACTATCTGATCCAACATCTGGAGAGTCAAATAAAATCGTAAAAAATAGGAATAAAATACTAGGTGGCTTTTTTCAATGCTATACATCAGTCTACACTATCTGTGGGATTGTCTTTATGTTTCTTCCCCATCAGAGCCTTTACTGCTTCAACCACCAGCCCCTCTTTGAGCATCAGGGGTCGAAATAATAAGGGAGGTTTATCTTGGCGGCATGGGACACTACATATCTACAGCTAATCATTGGTTTACACCTTACTACGGCGTGATGTGTCTCGCAAACTGTGATAACGAGCCATAAGTAGGGCTCATTACCAGCCATAGGCTGCCATGGGGGTGGGCATGGGTGGACTTGGGATCCGACCTCACAGGCGGGGGTGAGAAAGGGGTGTGAACTTTTGCCCAACATCGGATTTAAGCGCCTAAAAAGGGGTGGAATTCTCGGGCGCTTGATCTAACATTTTTACTATATATGGAAGGTAGGTAGGTGTATTTGAATGAACATTTATGGGCATTATCCGAGGTCCTTCTCCATCTTTCCGTGTGCCGTGACTACTTCCTTTTAGGATTGACTCACGTCACATATTTTTGACAGTAACATCCCGTTTTAACAAACCACAACAACTCCTCTCATCTCTCATCTAATCTCTTAATCTTATCTCTCTACTCGGAACCTCTCAGTCTGATCAACTGGGCCGCCGACTTATACTCAAGAAAAGTCTCGACAAAAAACAATAAATAAATTTCTCTAATACAATGGTCTTCACTCGTGCTCAAGCTGCTAATGCAGAAGCTATGAATACCCAGATTGAGTCCAGCCCATTGTCCTCTATCTCTACTCATGAAAGCTCGGTATCCGACACCGAGCAGGAGGTATCTGCTGGGAATGTCCCGCAGTTAGTCTGCTCGTATAGCGACGTGGTCGCCAGTCAGTCCCGCGGTGGATTTATGACTCCACGCGATGAACTATCACTCCGTACAAGTGAATCCCAGCCTGCCAAAGTTAGCGGTGCTGAAGAAGGTATTAGTAACAAAGATGGTACCAAGGACCTTACGCAGTCTATCATTTATAATGATGATGATGGACCCTGGGTTCCAGTTGGGAAAGGGGGTCGGCATTCCCCCAAACCAATTGGGCCAATACTCAGCCCTCTGAAACTCGCCGCAATCCATCAGGCTGAGGAGAATCTCTCCGAAGCTGATAGAGATTTGCTTGCGAGACGAAGTTCCTCCGTAATCATTATAAATGATGAGGACTCATCGGTAAGTCAGAGTACGGGCATTGCGACCCCTGTCCCCCGCGATGTGCCAGATAAAGGCAAAAGGGTTGACCCTAGAGAGTATGGGGAGCCGATAATCAAAATCGGCGGTCCCTCGAATGCTTTACAGCATTTACCTGTGCCTAAAGAAGAACTGGATGTTGTTGCACAGCAGGCAGAATTATCATTTTGGGATATGGCTAGGAAGAGCCCTAGCGCGCCTCCTAGTGTATCTGTTAATGCACTACATCTCACAACAGGTGAGCCCGACATCATTCAAACACCTGTGGGTAGTGTCTCAGCTACTATGTATGACCCTATTGCCGAACTTCAGTGTCGTTTGCTTGATTTGGAACTCACGAACTCTGTGTTGCGCGCAGAACTTGACGCAGTCCCTAAATCAGTACCGAAAGCTGCTCCTGCTGACACTCAGAAGTTGGAGACACCTAAGGTGGTTCCTCAGGCACAGAAGGATCATATTCGAGCAGTAACGGCTAAATATGAGGGTAATAAGCGTGTAAAGAAGACTCCTAAGTTCGTGGAGAATGCTAAGGAAGAATCAAGGGATGAGGGGTTTCCCCGCTCTCATCTCCTGGATCGGGACTCGATTCGGCCTAGTAGCTATATCCCAAAGACTTCCAGCGTTGGTCATGTGCTTGAGAGACTGCGTAGGCAGAATAATGATGGTAGTTCATCCCCGTCAAGTTCTTCCTCGAGCTCAGATAGCTCTGATGAATCTGAATCGGACTCTGGGTCCTCTGTATCGAGCAGGCATTGAAGGCGGGGAACTCATGGGCATTCCCGATCTAAGCGCAGAAAGGACCATAAGCAAAGAAACCATCGTTCTCGGAGCAAAGATCAGAGCCGCAAGCAGACTTCCAAATTGAAGCCAGTCGCGCCCACAGTATATAAGGGCGAGCCAATTGTGGCAACTTTTAATCGTTGGATGCGCAAGAGCGTAAATTTCTTGGAAGATGCTCAAGTGGAGCCGTCGAAACAAATACGAATGGTTGCGCGGTATACAGAGGGTAAGGCACACACCTACTACCTCAATGTAATTGTGGACCACGAGGAAGAATGGAGTCTTGAGGCCTACTTCCGTGATATCTTTGATGCTTGTTTTCCCTCGAATTTCCGTGAAAGTCAGCGCCGGCGGCTGTATCGTTTCCGTCAGGACACACTCACGGTTAAAGAATACATTGCAGAACTTACCGAAATCGTTGATTTGGTGGGTGACATCAGTCCGCGTGAGCAAGTGGTCAAACTCTTCAAAGGATTGCTATTCGGCGTCGTGGTTTATCTCCCGAGGTTTCGAGCTGGGAAGATATCCTTGACGAAGCCTTACGGGAAGAATCCGTACAGGCGGCTCTACGTTCAAGCTCGCGTGCATATAGTGCGCCGGATCATCGCGGCGGAACTAGAGAGTCGACACTTGGGAGGAAAGAGAATCATGCACGACGGAGGGCGGGAGATTTTCGTGGCCAAAGAGACGAGCAAGTGGCTAGTGCGAGAATCGCTCCTGTACCTGAAAAGAATGTTCAGGTCAGCAGTAGCGGCGGTAAGACCTGTGGCGCGTACAGCAGGGATAGCAAGCCCTCGGCTGGTGGGGTACCTAAAGAAGCTGGTCAGTTATCGCGAGAGGAAAGGGCTCGCTTGCGTACGGAGAACAAGTGCTTCATTTGCAAGCAACTGGGCCATATCTCGTGCGCGTGCCCGAGAGGGAATATCGTGAAATCCAAAGGAAGTGGACCTCCCGGCGTGTCTGCGAACAGCGTTCGTATCGACTTTGAGCGCCATGCTCGCCTGGAAGCAGCGGCGAGAGATGTGCAGCCTTTGGAATCGCTATCAGTAGGGATGGTCCGGATGGGCTCTTGGCTGGATAACGACGCTTAGGCTTCTCCGTCGATGGGTATTGCCGAAACGTTGCCTGAAGAGATGGAGCAGCGTACCAACGCTGAGGCCAGAACTCCTTGGCTGAACGGTGAAATGGATAATCTTAGATTGGATGTCTGGAGGCGTTGGTTGGCGTGGACGTATTCGGATGACTGCATCGGTTTTGCGCACGCGAACTTACAAACATGGGTGCTCGAGGTGAACCGGGACATTGGATATCCTGGCGATCATCTACACACTGAATTTGGGTGTGACAATAAACGCTTCCGGATAACGCACAACGAAGGGAGGACGTACCGAATTACGGACTTTATGCACAACTTTCATGATGTTGAAGTTGATGAGGAATGGCTTGAGGATTCTACATTCAATCTTGTCAGATGGTACGGGGACGAATTGCGTGTGCGACTGGATCTGCCTTACGATGATCTGGCATGGAACTGCTGGGAGCTGGAGGTAACTGATGCAGTTGCGATGAATGCGTGGGCGTATTTAGAGCACTCCTATCTTGGGACCTTTTCGCCGAATACTGGGGATGACTATCGATTCTCCGTGGAGCGAGTTCCTGATAGTAACCAGTGCCGCATCATAGATCGGCTGCTGGATAGAGTGGAATACATCAATGCCAGCGCCTTATGTTTTGGTTGGTTCAACTTATGCGAATGGTACGACAATCGTGTGCGCAGACACGACTATGATCGCCGTCGACCAAGCATTGATAATACCGATTCGGCGGACTCAGAGCCAGGAGGCGACGATAGCTCATCAGATGATGAGGATGGCAATATCGGGGGTGCTGTGCGCCCTAGGGGAAGGGAAGAATCCATCGAGCATCTCGAGGATCCTGATTCTGAATCTGAGGTCGAGATCACGGGTGACTGTTTTGCGCTCGAATTATTCGGCCAGCAGGTAGATCGCAACAAATACGCTGCGATTCACCGTAACGCCATTGTTGCTAAAGATTCCTCGCGGTCTATTCCAAAACCTGTGGTAATTACCGTAGAGATTAACGGTAGCAAGGCGGTTGCGCTGCTGGATTCTGGATCGCTCGGGGACTTTATGTCGTGCGATCTAGCGGATCAGTTAGTGGCGAGGAGGAAGATCAAGCTTGCGACACCATTACTGTAAGGGCAACCTCAAGATAGCCGCACAGTGCAAGCCTAGCAGAGGGAGAATCCAAAGAGATGAATAAGACTAACTGCAATACATGAGAGAGCTGCTCACCTAGCAGAGGGAGAATCCAAAGAGAACAGGATAAGGATTCTCCATGCTAGGAAGCGAAGTATATACTGTAGTAGCGTGGGAGGAATGAAGGGTAACTGTACAGTACACCAGCCACAGGTACAAACGAATATCACAAGGTACGAGGGGGCATGTGATAATGAAGTGGAAGGGGAATGTACAGGAGTCGTGCCAGCGACCTGGGGAAGTGGGGACAAGGAGTAATGAAGTGGGAAAGGAGGATAGAGGTAGCCCGGATGAGCCCTGAAGTGTATCTACGAGTCCGAGCGAGTCCGAAGTGTCCGAGCGAGTCCGAGGCGAGTCCGAAGCGCGGGAAGACTTCGGAGTCACCGGACGGGGCTCGGATGCGAAGGGAGTGAACGGAAGGGAAGCGGAAAGGTAAGGGGGTGAGAGGGAAGGAAAGGGAATGAAGGGAATGTAGATAATAGTCCATGGGATGAAGGAAGGGAGAAAGGAAACGAAGGAGGAAGGGAGAGGGACAGGGGAATAGGAGAAGATAGGAGTGTCCCCTTACATCACCCCCCCTTCAAGGTTGCGGCGACCCGACGCGAAGATTCCTGCCTGCCGCGCCATGAATTCACCAACCCCGAAACTCCGGATTGCTGCGAGAAGATGTCGAAGTACGACTGCGCGGAGCCCGGAGCCTTCCGACTGCGCCAACGCTCCCAGGACTGGTCCAGTGCTGCAGGAGTCATCCGGAGAGGTAGAGCAGTCGTCGGATTCATCGGGCTCGTCCGGAGTACGTGTACTGCGTCCGGGTGACGATCATGGAAGTCCTTGACCTTCCGGGCGGCATGCTGGAGGTTGCTCGCGGGCTCCCAGGAGTCGTGCTCGATACCATAGCCTCGCCAGCGCACCAGATACTTCAGGACCCAACCGAACCGTCTGCTATTTCGGACCTCTTCTACCTCATGCTCCTCTTCTCCGTCAATGAGCTGCGGAGGTGGCGGAGCGACAGGGCGTCTACCCGGGATGGGGTCCGGAACGAAGGGAGAGAGTTTGACCATGGGGAAGACGGGATGGAGACGGGATAAGCCTGGAGGGAGCTGGAGCCGGTACGCTGCCTTGCCAACCTTCCGGACGACCTTGTAAGGACCAAGTCGTGCGTGTCCGAGTTTCCGGGAGGGTCGGGCAAGGTTGATGTCCGACAAGTCCAGCCAGACCTTGTCACCTGGTTGGTACTCCGGAGCGGGAGTCCGACGCTGATCGTAGTAGCGCTTCATGTCGTCCTGAGCCTTGACCAATGCGGACTGAGCCTCGTCGACTGCGGATTTCATCCGGTCTACGAACTCGTTTGCGGACTCCATCCGAGACGGTGGCTGATGAGGTTCGAACCCGAGACGAGGATGACGGCCGGTATCCAGGAGGAAGGGTGACTGCTGAGTGGACGCATGGACCCGGTTGTTGTACGCAAACTCCGCCATAGGTAGGAGGCAAGCCCAGTCGTCCTGACGCTCTCCGACGAAGATCCGGAGATAGGACTCGAGTTCCTGGTTGGTCCGTTCCGTCTGTCCGTCGGACTGAGGGTGGTACGCAGTGGAGGCAGCCAGCTTGATTCCGAGCATCCGGTAGACTTCTCGGGTGAACTCTGCGACGAATTGCGGACCCCGGTCGGACACAACGGACCGAGGGAGTCCGTGCAGCTTCCAGACGTTCTGCAGGTACAAGTTTGCAGATCCGAGGGCAGACACTGTGGTGTGAGTCGGAATGAAGTGGGCGTGTTTGCTTATGGAGTCGACCACGTTCATGACAGCATCAAACCCATCGGACTCCGGAAGCTCGACGATGAAGTCGACACTCAGACAATCCCAGCGTTCATCCGGAATGGGAAGCGGATGAAGTTCACCCATGGGCGGATGCCTTTGGGCCTTCGTCCGGAGACAGAGGTCGCAATGGCGGGTGTAGGATCCGACATACCGGGACATGTTGGGCCACCAGTAGCTGCGCAAAACGAGCTCTAGGGTCTTCCATCTGCCGGCGTGTCCTGCGACCTTGGTGTCGTGGTGCTGAGCTACAATAGTCCGACGCAAGTCCGGTGAGTCCGGAACGTAGATCTTACCCCGGAACATGAGGAGTCCGTCCGATTGGGACCATTCCGCGCTTCGGACTGTCTTGCGACTGCCCTGGGTCTTCTTCAGCTCCTCTGCCGCCTTTGCCACTGCGTCTTCGAACTTCGCATCTCGCACTCCAGTCCGGATAGCCGTGAGGATATCCTTCTCCTCCCCTTCAAGAGTAACACCCGTGGCACGGACAGCAAAGTAGGAAGGCTTGAGCATCACTACATCCTTGTTGTCATCCTTACCATCCGAATGATCCGAGTGTCGCGAGAGAGCGTCCGGTTTACCCATGGTCCGACCTGGACGATGCTGGAGAGTGAAGTCGAAGCGGGAGAGGTATAGGGACCAGCGGGCTTGACGACGGTTGAGCTTCTGGGCCTTGATGAAGTACTCCAGGTTCTTGTGGTCCATCCAGATCTCGAACGGAGTCTCTGCGCCTTCAAGGTAGTGCCGCCATTCTTCGAGCGCCCAGATGATTGAAAGCATCTCCTTGTCGTGTATTTTGTAGTTCCGCTCCGCAGCCTGTAGACTTTTAGAGTAGAATGCGACAGGATGCCATTTACCATCATCCGGATCCAGTTGCGACAAGACTGCACCCGTGGCGTAGTCCGACGAGTCCGCTTCAACCCGGTATGGCCAATCCTCCTTCGGAAAGACAAGAACAGGTTCCGAAGTGATCAGCTCTTTGATCCGAAGAAATGCGGATTGAGCGGAGTCGTTCCACTGCCATTCCTTCGCGCAAGTGAGGTCAAAGAGAGGCCGGGCGATATGCGAGTAGTCCTTGATGAAGCGGCGGTAGAAGTTGACGAACCCGAGGAAGCATTGGAGTTCAGTCCGAGTCCGAGGGGTCGGCCAGTCCGCAACTCCGGAGACCTTCACGGGGTCCATCTCGATCTTACCCTCGGAGATGACGACTCCTAGATACTCCACCTTGGTCTGCTCAAAATCGCACTTGTCCGCTCGGAGGAAGAGCTTGTTTCGCTGGAGGATCTCTAGGACACGCTTGAGAACCTGGCAATGCTCTTCGCGCGTCTTGGTGTAGATCAGGATGTCGTCCAGATAGATAATAACCACACCTTCCATAATGAGCTCCCGGAACAAGTCGTTCATCATGGTCTGGAAGGTAGACGGGCTGTTGGTCAGTCCGAAGAACATCACCAAAGGTTCGAAGAGTCCGCACGTAGTCCGAAATGCGGCCTTCCACTCGTCACCCTCCTTGATCCGGACATTGTTGAAACCCCACCGGACGTCGAGCTTGGAGAAGTAGCGAGCGTTCCGGAGTTTATCCACCAAGTCCGAGATGAGCGGAAGTGGGTACCGATTCTTGACCGTCATGCTGTTGAGCTTCCGGTAGTCCTGGACCAAGCGGAGCGATCCGTCCTTCTTCTTAACAAAGAACACCGGGGCAGCCATGGGCGACTTGCTGGGGCGGATCCGACCAGTCCGGAGATTTTCTTCCAGAAACTCGTCCAGCTGTTTCTGCTCCACTGGGGACAGCGGATAGCACTTGGTAGAGGTCGGTTCCGCTCCGTCCATTAGCTCAATGGCGTGATCCCACGGACGCGGCATGGGCAGTTCATCAAAGGACTCCTTGGCGAAGACGTCCTCGAATTCTCGGAGGAAGTCCGGGACTGCGCTGTTCCGAGGATCGTGGGGTTTGTTGCACTGGAAAGCCAATGCGAGGCGCTGCGAGACCGTCTCCGAAGCTCAGACATGTTCTTCCCCAAGACTCCGAAGGTACTCCGGAGTCGGAGGAGGAATGGCTACGAAGATACGGTCGCCCTTCTCAAGTCCGGAGTCATCCGGAGTTGTGGCCTCATCGTCCTCGTCGTCGACCTCGCAGTCCTGAAGCTGCGGGAGATCGTCCGAGTGCAGTTCCTCGACCATTGGCATCGGCACTCCCGGAGTTGTACGGACTCCTTGCGTTGGGTCAGCTTGTCATGGTGGAACTCCTTCCGACAGGTGTCGCATCCGGACGGACAGCGGCTCATGGTCACCTCCTTTGTCTGCCAGTCGATCTCGGGTTTGTGCTTCCGAAGCCAGGTGTATCCGAGGATGATGTCCTGGCGTCCGATGTTAGTGACCGCAAACAGCATCCGTTCTGTGTGATCCTTGAACCGGAGTACAAGGTCCACGACTTCGGAGATGGATCCGTTTTCGTTTGGTGATCCGTCGACATTGAAGACCGGGATCGGGGCGGACAGCTTGCGCCGGGTGAAACCATGGGCATCAGCGAAGCGCGGATGCATGAAGACTCCGGTGGCTCCACAGTCCACCAGGGCCTGCAGGGTGCATCGGTGTTGTGTATCCGTGCTCTGCACTTCAATGGGTATATCTAGCGAAAGCTTGCCGGGCAGCGCAGAGATCTTATAGCTACTGGGTAGCCGCCGTTCCCACTGCGGGCAAAACCTTCGGAGTGTGCAGATTGTAACCGGAGTCGTTTGCTTAGCGTCGGACGAATCATCGGAGTGATCGGAATCGTCTATTTCGTCTACGCTAAGACAAGCAAATCGGTTATTTACCAACGAGGTCGCACTGATCACTCGTTGGTCCGGACAAAATCCGCCGTGTCCGATTCCTCAACCGGGGCCGTTCCCTCATCATCTATTCCTTCCAAGGTCCCGCACTTTCTACAACATCGGCCGCGGTCAGGAGATCTTCGATGGCGGACATCCGCTCCTCGGTGGTCATGAACCGGACGTCGTACCGAAGTGGGCACTCGCGGGACATGTGGCCGGGCTTGCCGCATCGGTAGCAGAGCTGTGAAGTGGCGGGCCGGGAGCGGGTGTGGTCAACGTCCATGGGGACGCCGGGTGAGAGAGCCTTCGG